ATATATGTTTTAATATATAATAAAAAAAAAAATTTATAGTCCAATGGATGAAAATATTTGTACCGATGTCATAATACTGTTATGAACGTTGCCTAATATGCAGTTCGTCGCCCCACGTCTCGTTCAATCCCACCCTATTCCCGGTCGTCTCTGGAAGTCTGGATGGCAGGGATGTAAGGGGAACGAGGAAAGGGCGAATGTCGAGGGAGGGATATAAACATATAATGCATAACATACGGGAATGTACTTTGGAACACGATATGCAATATATATCACTGCCTCGATTCATCACTCTTATTACTGTTACAGTTTAATAATTGAGAATTATAGAGCTAATTTTGATCTATATATGTATACCTTATTTCTAATTCAGAACATGCGTAATGACCGCTTTCTCTATGTTTTATACGCCCACTTCTACAGTGTGACGACAGTGACGTCACAATTCGACGTCATAACGCCTCCTACTGGTTGTATCCGCTGTATTGATTTTCGGTGACGTCACTGGTTCATTTGCAAAATACTTTTTTTTCGAACGCGCATTTATTTATTAATTGAATTTCATCATTCTGTTTGCTTTAAGATCTTTTAATGTGTATGTGTATGTGTCTACGTCGCAGCGTATTATCTTCTTTATATCGTGGATTTAGAATTTTTCATTATTTTTTATTATTTTTCATTATATTTCTCAGAAAATGCTTCATAGCTGAAGGACAGGTAGTTTTATCAGGGCATTATATCGATGCGTATAAAAAAAAAAAATATGTTATTGACATCGCTATAACATCGTGTCGCCTCTCGAATTTTCTTCGTACACGCTATCAGTTTGAAATTTTCTGCGATTCTGCGACAAATTGCGTTGAAGTCTACAAGACAAACGTGTCAAGCAAGTGCGTATATTTTTACGAAGCGGCCTAATAATTTATCTAGCTCGACGGATTCTGACGTCATTGAAGCTTGATCTTGCTTTCTCACCATCAGTGTTAGCGAGAATGACCGTGAAAGTTGCTCGCTTATAAGAATCAGTCGGTATTTCTGATAATTGTGGCGTAGATGCATGAATCATAAATATAACCCGTAGCGTAAAAGAAAAGATTGTCAAGAGAATTCGAATATACATATACATACATACATACATCGGTATCAAGATATCGGTTCTGCGCATAAGAATATTAAAACCATGTGAACTTATGCAATAACATTGCATGCTATTGCATAAGCTTACACCTCGGACTATCATCGCTAATCCCTCTCGCCTACCCGTGGCCACATCGTCATTATAATCGCGTGATCATTTTATTAATCATTAATTGATATACGCGCGAAGAGAAATCGGTATCGCGGTCAATAAAGTTGTACGCTCGTTGCGGCGGCGATTTGTCGCCGCACTTGATTTTAGATTACGCACTAGAAAATCCGGCACGCTTATACACGGATACCGCACGATAGGAGCGATCGATATCGAACTTCATCGATTAGATAGACGGCGCCAGGCTGGAAATCGGAGGAAGTCGATCGCGCCAAATTTCAATATCTCGATCGCGATTATTCCCGGACGAGATCAAAATTTTCAAATATATCCCGACCTGTGAAAAGAAACTACGAACACAATGTTTACGTAATGTCGTTGCTCGATTCTCGTCATGCACGAAAAAAAAAAATTTTCTCATGAGAACAGCCATAAGGCAGAACGTCACTGATTGCGAAGACGCGTGCGAGAGAGTCGGATGACATTGCGTATGAAATATGCGTGTGTATTTGGAGTGGGAGAGGAGGGAGGAGGAGGAGGAGGTCAGATGACGAGCACTATTCGTTCGGTGACGACAAGAGTGTGGAGGCTGCCTCGACACTGTGCTATTTTGATCGCCACGCTGCTGTGGCTGGCCCAGATTCGATACGACCGTCGTCGCCGCAACGAGTGCGCGATATCATTCTCGGGGCCTCACATCCATGCGTATCTAACAGCTTTTACCTTTTACGAGAGACGGGAAGCGAGTCTTCCTCGCGAGTCGAAGATAAATTTTTTTATAACGGAAACAATCCGCGATTGTAGTCAATCGTGCGAAGTGTAAGACATTGACGTTAGTTGACGCGATTGCAAGAAACAGTCGTGACACTTGTCAAAAGCTGAAAACACGTGGAAGGATATGAACGATCATCTCGTTGGATCCTGAGCGGTGAATTTTAGGCGGTCTCGCCAAAGTGCGCGCGCAAATATTAAAATGTGACTTTTCCTCTTTGTGATGTGGTGCGGTGATCTCGTCACGTTGCTACGCGATTTTTGATCGCGTGACAATACTGACATTTAGATTATAATTATCTCCGAGAACGCTTTCGTGACCTTGAAGATTATTTTTCTCGTCAAATGATTATAAGGTAAAGTGAATCAAGTCACTGTCGGACGCGTTGCGAAGAAATATTAAATGCGTAACCGCTTTTTAATATATGCAAATACTTAAAATCCTATTAAAAAAAAAAAAAAATATCGTGCAATGCACAACACGCGAACTGTAATTTTCCGCTCGCCTTCGAATTATTTTCAAATGATATATATACATACAATACACACACATTCACATATTACGAATTAAGTATGCTTGTGCAAATAGTTTTTTTTTTTTTTTTTTTTTTTTTTTTTTTTTGATTTATTTATCTGAATAAATTTTAAGCAAATCATTGGAACGTTTTTGCTCGCATGTCTTTATCTATGCGTGCAAAGAATTTTGTTAGTCTAATCATCTAATGGTCTGAAAAAAAGTCTGTTATTTCTTTTCGCGTGGAAATAGCAGAGTCACATACATATTATCGATACTTGAAAATTCTCGCGATGAAACGCGAGAATTTGTAGCGCGCCTGTCGAAAGCAATGGGATACGTTTATAGAACGAAGGCTGATGATGGAATCGCCGAATTTCTCACATTCTTTCGAAATAAATATAATTATACGATATATACGTGTGATACAAACGCGCAAAAGTGACATGCTATTTTACTTGGACGAAAATTGGCACCGTTTGTCGAAGGAGAAAGAGAACATTATGTCAATACAACGTATATTTTGGACAATCGTGAAGGACACGCGTACAAGTAATAGTAAAATAAGAAAATTAATCTGTCGTGCGTTCGATATCTCGTTCGATAGGTTCATCAGTTTGTAGGCACGATGCTTTCTCGGTGAAACCGGTAAAAAAAAAAAAAAACAGCGCGTTATTTCAACCTTGTGGCTATTTTATTTTCGCCGAAGCGGTTTATGATTTTTGTTTATCTTACATATAACGCGCAGATTCATAAATTCCTTCGTGACTATTATGCAACGTGCGTTGCAAGAAAACGCTATTCTCACGAGATGTAAATTGATATACTTGCTGATCGATGAATATTTCGCCGCGCGCGTGTATCGCGATTATCTTTCAGTTATCATTTTAATATTTTAATCAGTCGTATTCGTGTGTAAAATTGAATTACCTGACTTATAAATGATAGAGGCTAGAAAAAGCGCCGATTGTTTCGAAACTTTCTTTCGATAATTGTCTTTAGCGGAGGCGCAGATAAATTATTCTTACACCATCCGTATAGCATGTAACATACATATATCCATCCTGACTCCTGACCCTCGCGATTTCTCTCGCTTCGTCTCGCATACAGTCTAACTGTACACAGTATACATATATATATATATATATATATATATATACAGGGTGTATCGTAAAGACCGAAACAACGCTTAAGGGTAAATTCTTGAGATCATTTTAAGATGATTTTTCCTCAGCAAAAATATCGAAGCATCAATAATCATAATTTCTTTGTTATAAGCGATTCAAAAAGAAGGGCTTTTTGCAAACTAAACTTTATAGAGAGTTGAAACCGTATTCTTTAGTTAATTTCAGATAGAGTTTATTTTAATAGAGGGAGAGAATTTTAATTTAAAGTTTAATTACGAAGATATATAACGGAAAAAATTGGAAACTTGCAAAAAAATGATGACTCTCGATATTTTCGCAGAGGAAAAATTGTCTCCAAGTGGTCTCAAGAATTTACCCTTAAGCGTTGATCCAATTTTTACGGTACACCCTGTATATATATATATATATATATATATATATATATATATATAGGGTGTATAAATAAATATTAAATAAATAAATATATATATATATATATATAATATTTTATACATTGACATTCAATCGGATGTCAATATTAAAGAGAGATGCTTAGCAAAACGTATATATTTTCTCCTGCGAAAATTTCCGTTACGTTCTATTAATACACGAATGATTGGAGCGAGCGATTTTTGTCGCCTCATGTTCTTCGCGGATCCGTCTTTCAAAACGTCCGCGACGTAACTACAACGTAAATAGAATTTTGTTTACCGCATAAACCCACGCACGTCGTCGGTCTTGTGACACTCCGATGATCCCAATGATGGATGTATCGAGTATTAGTTCCGATCGCATGAACTTCCTTCGAGCAACAGTACGACGGAACCTTTCAACTGCTTTAGAGCATCACTTACGTTGCAATCTTGTAAATTATAGCACAAGAGACATTGTACGTAGAGGTCTTATAGTGAAAGTAATTCCAACAGGATTGTGGCGATATTTGATGTGCGGGGGCGGCTTCGCTTTTTATATACATATAAAATTTTTACACACACACATGGGCGCGTTTATATAGCGTATATAATTTAAATAATATATATAAAAAAATAATGGCATAACGAATGACCATTGACAGGAATAGAAATATAATTGATTGTATTTCATCTTAATTGCATATCTATTTTTTTTTTTTATTAATCTCAATCAATCTTTTGTCATGTCACTGTATACAGAAATTATACGTAAAAAAAACTAGATCGATACAATTCTTTTCTTTTATTCATTTTTTTTATCTCCGCGTTATCTCACCAAATTTAAAAATAATTAAAATTAAAAAAAAAAGAAATAAAAATTTCGTTAAAATTAGAAATATTTTCTCCCTCCATACTGCATGTTTATACGGCAATGTTATATTATTACAGTGTAAATACTTTGCATCCGACATTAGTATAATTAGTCACATTCAATCTTTCGGAAAACAGACATTTGACGATATGCTGTGCAACCGTACAATAATACAGAGTGTCTCTCTGGAAAAACATGGAAAATCTAGAATTCCCACAGGTATTTTTTTTTTGTAGCTGGAAAAATCAGGGAATTCTCATGGAATTTTATCGGGACTCAGGGAATTCTTTTAAAAATCGTTATCGAATATATGCAGCACATATTCTTTATTGTAATTTTTAGTCATTAGAATTTAACATTAGAAAACGCGTACAATAAAAAAAAAACTTATTTTAAAAAAATCAAAAAATCTTTAAAATATTCTCTTCACCTGGAATTTTAGACAAAAATACCTGGAAAATCAAGCAATTTTCAAGGAATTTTTTTACAAGATTTGAGTGAATACTCTGTAATAATAATTGCAACAATATTGTACAGGATACTCGCAAACTTATAGTTAAATATTTCTGCAATTTTGTGCTGTATGGATCTATTGAAAAAGCACTATAATGCTAAAGAACTAAAATATGTGTTTGACGACGTGGAAAATGTGTGAATAAGTATTCGCGCCTTATTACTATATAAGCAAATCACAGGCGGTTTTTTTTTTAACCATCACGACGACGTCGCATGTACATACAATGACAAAGTTTAGAAAAAGACGCGATAATCTGATACGGAAAAATTCTATCGACAATATCTCGATATTTTTTTATTTTTATTTTTATTTTTATAATATATTCATCGCCGAATTAAACGAGGCGTAAATCTTGCATTTTAATTTTCAACCCAGAGTTCACCTCACTACGATTTATATATATATATATATATATATATATATATATATATATATATATATATATATATATATATATATATATATATATATATATATATATATATATATATATATATATATATATATATATATTTCTTCTCTAAAATATCATGAGATAGTATATGATAGTATTAAAATATATCGAATCCAGAGAAATTCTCAAAAAATCATTAATGTTATTCATAATGGAAACACATGTTTCAAAATTGGGTATCTACAGGTTTTAATATTATCTCAACAAGTCTATACAACTACGGCCTAAGTAGGCTTGTCAAATCAATTTTGAGATCTCGTTTGTAAATATTGTAATATTTTCTCTCTTCATTTTATGACAGTGAGTCATCCTCATTTCTCGAACGAATGAAGCCTCGAAAGTCTTACCTGATCATCTGTCCGACATCTGGCAGCTCTTACCGATAATTGTTTTCTCTTATTCTCTCTCATTTGTTCTTATTATTATCTCGCTCTCGCCGAGCCAGAGAGCAGAAAGATTTATAAGATAATTTCCGGAAGGTAAAAATTTATTGTCTTATTTAATGAGAGAATGCAAGATCATATTTTACATTCGTCTTATAAATCAGCGAAATAAAAATGACCAGAACTAATTGTAATTAATATTTTGATCAAACTACTAATCGAACAACCGCGTTTATTTTGTGTCATTTTATAGCAATATAATCAAATTTAAAAAAATTTTTTTTTTTTTTTAATTTTTATTATAAAATGTGAAATGACACGTTTCTAAGCAATTTCTTATCGAAAATGGAAATTGCAGCAACTATTCAGTATACATACATATATTGAATAGTATATCATATTAAAGAAATAAAACGCAGGCAGCGGTGATGGTCGACATATCATCGCGATAGATTCGGCCTTGGCGGCGTTTCACTGCTCTCCTCTCTGTTTGAGACTTCACCTGCCAATTATTTCGGTTATTCTTGTGCATATGCCTGAATGTCGATTGGTCGTGCTTCTATCTGTCAATCAGTCGTTGTTCGCGTGTAACAACAGCGTTATGCAAAAGGGAAGCTTTCGCAAATCAATCGCGGCGAAAGATCGAAAAGTCAATTTGTACGCTACCAAACGCAAGCTTGGCACAGAACAACTAGAAATTGCGATCTATGACACACGAGTGTGTGCACGCGCGCGCGTGTGATGGTGCATTTTCGATCTAAAAATTATTTCGGTATCTTTTCTTTTCGCAGCATGTGCGAAATTGCTTTAATTTGTCAACACGTGCGCGTGCGAAATTGCTTTAATTTGTCAGGAAACAAAGCTAAATTATTTGGACGAGTAATTAATAAATAGGGTCTATTCTCTTCACACGCACGAAATAACATACTCGAAAATTGGCATCAGACGCAATTTGGCTATTATTGTGACAGGCGAAAATTTATGCAATTGTCACGCGCGAGGATGATAAGAGTAGCGCGATGTTACTTCAAGATTTATAATTTTATTACTCGCAATGAAAAGATCTATCACTCTTGATTTTTTGTTGCAGTTTCCTGGTGAGTGCATCCTCACATACATGGAGTTTCAGTTGGATAGCGCAGAGTATTGCCAGGCTCAACACAAATAGAGAGACACGCTCCACATACTCCCTGACAATTATTAGGTACTCTTAGAACAAAGAGAAGAAGGGTAGAAACATCTTGGAGGGTGGAAAGAAGGATATTAAAGTAGAAGAATTATCACGCACCGGGGAAGCCAGAAAAATCATCGACTAGTCATCACGCAAGACACATAGAAGAATTTAATAGAAATTATTAATTTACATTAGTAGATGCAAGCATTGTAGAGATACTGAGCGCACCTGGAGCACCCAGTGCCAAATAGGTACATTAATTTTCAATTACATAATTGCAATTTGTCGCACATAGAGATAAATCTGTAAGTATACTGATTTCAGATAATCTTCCGCGAATTATAGTCAAAAAGTCTCAAGTAGGAAGGATAAAGCGCATATCAACACCGCCTAATGTAACGTAGCCCTTACACTTTCGGCGAAGTTCGCACCCCGACAACCCTTCCTAAGATCTACATGTAAACCCGTGGTTCTGTCCTCTGTAAAAAAATAAGATATTCTATTAGTTAAATGAGAAACAACTCTATAAGACTGACATTTAATGGGCTAAGTTGTCAAATCCAGCCTTTGTCGCTTCGTATAGTGTGGCACACGTATGTGAGAGACTTTGAAAGACAAGTTATATAAGATCTTTAAGAGAGTTAAAAACAAAAGAAAGAAGATAGATAATACAACCATCTCTCCATCTTAAGGAGGAAATGAGCAACATGAGGGTGAAGGATATCAGACCGGCGCCCGCCGAGATTGAATACAAAAATATGAAGTTCCTCATTACTGATCGGCCCAATGATCAAACCATCCATACCTTTATCCAAGTTAGTATACAACATTCTCTGCCCAAGACAGATCCTCTTATTTCTCAATTTCATTCTCTTAATTACCTAATACGAACTGTTGTATATCTCTTTAATAGGAACTGAAAAAGCATAATGTGAAGGAAGTGGTCAGAGTTTGCGAACCAACGTACAAAGTCGAGGAACTCAAGTCGGAAGGGATCAATGTGATAGATTTGGTATTCGACGATGGTACATTTCCACCAAACGAGGTAAAGGATCTCTCACATCTTTAGACGTTATAAACGAAGAAACAAAATAGGAATACATATATATATTCTATTTGCATCCATTTTGTCTATTTATAACAATTTCTAGGTAGTGGATGAATGGTTCGAATTGCTAAAAAATCGATTCCGGGAATCACCTGATGCATGTGTGGCAGTACATTGCGTCGCAGGTCTCGGTAGAGCACCGGTTTTGGTTGCAATAGCTCTCATCGAGCTCGGACTCAAGTTCGAAGATGCTGTTGCCCTCATCAGAGAGTAAGTCATCTTGTACTTTATAACATCTTTTTGTTTGCTTAAATATTATTGGTACGCATTACAATTAAGTTGTGATTTGCGACTCTTTCTCTGTTTTAGGAAAAGACGAGGCGCCATAAACGCAAAGCAGTTGACTTTTCTTGAAAAGTATCGTCCCAAGTCTCGATTGAAGCTCAAGAATGGACAAAAAAATTCTTGTTGCATCCAATAGATCAAAGAATTTTTCAAAGGAAAAAAAAAGAAAAGAGAAAAAGTGGGAAGAGAAAAGTCACTAATCCACATACCGATTGATATAAATGTATAGGTTTTTGCGCCTGAAAACAAGTGGCATATTGTAGCAAATCTATTCTGAATGGCCTATCAATGGAAATGCAATCGTGATAAATGTCAATAAATTTTGAGGCACTTTTTTTGCACTAATCATCTATTCTAAATTTTTGAGGCAAGTCATTAACAAGTGAATATAGCTTCAAATTGTTGTTGGTTCCTTTTGTGAAATGATCGCATACTTATTTTTGATACTTGATCGATATTATATTAAATACATAATGGGACAAAAATTAAGCCTTGAAATAGTAATAACTATTTTTAAAACACTTGAAAATCTCGATTACATTATTGTCATTCAGCCTTAGTGATTTCTAAATTATGACTTCTAAATTGTGAGTTATTATTCATGATATGTGTACATTTATTATATAATATACCTTTATTTTCTTTCTTAATATACACAAAAGATAAAAACAAGTATAGAATAAACGTGCGCGCAAAATATAATTTATTTAATTTAAAAAAGAACAATATAGGAATTATAATTGTAATTATAATGAACATGTGCAGTAGTATGTACATTATCAGTTTGTTAACGTTTCATTGAGATGACAAATTATATTGTGTTTTTTGAAATATATATAAAAGATATGTAAAATATTTTTATTATTTATCGGATTTTTACCAGATGTAATTTAGAAATTTCTACACTGAGTGATCGTAAACTTCACGGATGAAATAATAACAGTGCTATAAAAAAGTAAATACGTTTCTTTACAGAATATATAAAGATGTGTAAAAATATCTGAATCAGAATTATATATTTCTTTTTAAACTAAATATATTTAAAAAAACTATCTGCCTCGCGCGTATGCAAAAAAAATATACTGCTCTTTAGAAAGATTTTATATACATTTTTCGCAGAATGCGATTGGAATAAAAAGGAGGTGTTTTTTATACAATATATTAGTCGCAACTTTGCAAAGTATAAAATTCTGATATATTAAGCATCAAAATAATTTCTTCAACGATGCATCAGAAGAAAATACTATAATAAAGGATTATCAACTTTTCAATAATGAAAGAGTACACTATTTTAAATATTGCAATTATAAAACATATTGTGAAATTGAATTTGTATATATATATTTTTTTTCTTTTCTCATTGTATATCTGCGAAATTATATTAATTCTAATTAGTAAAATATTAGGCAAAAATGATTAATGTTTGCAATTACTACTATAATATTTTGATACACTTGCCGCGAATGTTTAATGCAAATCATATGAATTGCAGCATTTGAATTTTGATGCATATTTTGAATTTAAAGGCAAAAGTTTTTAGCTTAAAGAAGAGAAGGGAAACAACACATATTGCGTTGCATTTCCAGTGGCATGCCGAATTGCTGATGGATGTTTTTAACTCTTATTGGACTTGGAATCTGCGTTAACTTGAAAGATGGATAATGAGAAACTAATGTGAAGTAAATCACTTTCCAGAGCTGTATATCACATTTATCGTAGCTCGACGGCAATTTCACCAAAATCTTTGCATATCTAACTTTTAGTTAGAAATAGATTTTTCAATCTGATACGAGCATTTTATGTAAAATCATTGTCGTCTTCAATTTTGGTAAAATTGTCGGTGATGCTGTACGCCACACTAAACTGTGTTCAAAGGATAGAAAAATTCACTCGTAAAATAATAACAAATATAATACTTAGAACACATTTCACGCGCGTCTGCTGATTTCATGTGAATGTACGCGTTGTTTTGTATTCGCTGTTTTGTTATGCCGTCTTTGTTTCTAACCGTTCTGCTTAACAATGAGTCCGTTCCGGAAATGAAACTTGCACACGACAGTTATGTAGCAATCGAGTTTGGTTAATGTGTATCAATACATTCAGCCATCCAAGCTTAATTGCTACTGGACGATCTCACTGTTGCATTTCAGTACAGCATAACAATTATTGCTTATTGTTACGCGTTCGTTAATCATATGCCTATCTCTTATTCCAATGACAAAATACGATTGACACCACAATCGATTGATAATCTATTACTTATTTGATTATCAAACGAGCGACAAAAGAATAATTTAATTTTTAACGAGTGACAATAGGATACATTCACTACGATCGCAGACTCGGATTGAAATTTGAACCTGGTGCATCTTTTTTTGTAATATTGAAACTGCAATATTTTTTACCAGAGGATGGGACGAGGGTTATTCATAAAAGCAAATCATCCAACCTTAGATGCAAAAGTATGTTACTTTTATATAGTTTAATCCTAGTTCAATTATAACAATTAAGCTAATCGGGCACATATATAAATATATTTTTTAAATTAAATTTTTTTCGAAAGATACGTTAATATTTGTGGCAAAATAGGTATGGTCTTAAAAGTTACCAATATGATTTTCATTGTTTAGCTATTACTTTTGCACATCGATTCACTTCTTCAAGTTGTATAAATAAATTGCTGCTATAATACAAAACGTCTGTTTTTATATATACTGTGATATGATTTTTCTTTATGTGTATAAAAAAAACAGTAGAGACTGAGAAATAGAATGGAATGAGGATTGTTGATGCTGTGATGCCAAGAGTTTTAGTTTGCTAACGGTATAAAAGATCATACACGTTGCTATTTTATTTGAAATAATGTTCAATTACAATCCAACATGTGAAAATCGTTTCACTGTGCAATAATGCTTACATTAATGATACATATATATGGAATACGGAATGTTTTATTTCTTGAAGAAATGAATCGAACTGCTGCAAAAATTAATATTACTTGAAGAAACAAATGCAATTATATAGTTAAAATAATTCCTTTTTTTAATAGTTATTTTATGTGAATTTAATTGATACAATAATTTCATGTATCGATAAAGACTTCTTGCGTTTAACGTGTTTAATGTGAATATTTGAAGCAAGAACAATTTAGATAGGAAAGAAATCCTCTATTTTAAACCGGCATAATAAAATAAGAACAATCACTCCTTACAAATTGATTAAGCAAGAAATAAAAAATAATGAGTTAGCGCAATTTAAATAAAGATTACTATTTAATTTCTAAATGCAATTTCCTCCACCTGTCATTATATACAATTGCCTTGAATTAAACTAAACAAAATTATTTTGTTTAAGTTATATTGTGTGTAAACAATATCAATAAAATAAAAGAAAAAAGAATGAAAGTTGTGTTTTATGAAAAAAAAAAGAAAAAAAAATTTTTATAACATTTCTCTTATACTTTGATGGTGTACTGTGTAAAAACAGATTTTCTAACTTTATTCTAGAGAAATGATGTCTGTCTTGAGCAATTTTGTCCTAAATAAAAATATTGTAAAGGAAACATTATTTTTTATTGTCAAAAAAGCATAATATTATTTAGAGAGACACTGTATTACAATTTAACTCTCGCCATTTCTTTCAATTCTTTTTACAAGTTTAATATTTTCTTTAAAGATACATACGTAGATATATATAATTAAGTATAAAATCAATTAAACATATCGAATGGCGGAGGAGGAAGGTGGTCATCGTCGGGCCTACGGCGGGGCGGTCTTAACGGAGAATCCATATCAGGTGGACCAAAGGGATCGAATCTTGCGCCAGGTGGTATTGCACCTCTGCAATATAATATGTGAATTAATGATTCTTATAATTGGAAAATGTCTAGATATATAATAAATGCGACATACGGTGGCAATCTTCCAGGTACTCCTAAACCACTCGGTAAACGTCCAGTTGAGGGACGACCGCCGAACGGATCGAATATCATACCACCGCCTTGTCCAAACGGATGAAGATCTCTAACTCCTACTCTTGCAGGATCATATTCAGGTCTACTGCATATTTATAGATCAATAAATCACTTTAAATAGTACATCTAATAATAATCAATAAACATATAAACCATTAAAATAGAATATTAAAAATAGAAAAAATAAGAGACTATAAATTTGTTGTAATAATCCACATTCATTATAAACGATTAATCAAAATATATTGACAAATCACATTAATACCGAATGTTTGATGTATGCAATTAATACATAAAAACATTTTATATATTACAAATAAACATAATGAAATATTGTAGAGCAGAATTTTCATTCTACACTTGAAATTCAATGAATTCATGTTTAAACTATTTTCAGTTATGCTTAATATCAAATAAAATCTGTGTTAAAGATGCTATTATGATGGAAAAATATAAGATATACCTATAAAGCACATTATAAAAAAAGGATAACATGTATACAGAAATATATATATTATTATTGTATATTACTGAATATAATTATCTCATTGATTCTATTGCAAAAATTGTACTGCAGATTTTCTTTGGCTTTGAAATTTAAGAATCTACATTGATATAAAAAAAATTGTATAGACATACACACATATATTAATCAAATTGGTATCAAATTACCGCAATGGCCGATCAGGTTCTGGTCCGATCACCCTCAGTGGATCAAAACTTCTACGTGTTTGACTTTCATTTGATTCAAAGGAATGTAGATTGCTTGATGTGTTTGTTTGAGTTGCTACCTCTTTAGTATTTCCAGAATCTAATGCACCTACAAAATCTTTTTGTATGCTATGTAAAATCGTATGATATGATGGTATCATAGTTTCTAAAAGCCCAGAATATGAAGTTACAGTTTCTTCAATAGGGAACTGAATATTAGAGATAGAATCGTCATGGTGTCTCTGTGAAAATAAAATATTGAATAACATAAATTGTGTGAATAGTATTTTAATCATTAATTTTCTTTTTGGAATTTAACTATAATTATCATAAATTACCATCAAATTTAATAACAGATCCATATCTGATTTGATTCCAAGGAGTACATATAATTTTTCATCCTTAATATAACGTAATGCATAATTAATTTGCGAGTTCCAACCTTCTGGAAGCAATTCACTTCCTCTCTGAGATACATTAAAAGTTTTCTAAAAAATATAAATTTATCATTTTTAGAATAATTATCCCTCAAGTATTAATAGACACTATATTAAGAAAAATCTCGACATATAAAATTGTGTGTATATTTTAACTATAAATCTAAACAAATTATATAGAACAAATTATAAAAATATACCAGTATATTGAAACTTTATTTTTTATAGGTTAGAATTTTTGGCACCAAAATAAATACACACAAAAGATGCTACTATGATGGAAAAATATAAGATATATAAAATGTCGATATTATTGCAAAACGTGACACAGTATATTGCAGAAAATTTAAATCAGGACTTACTTCATCTCCGATGCCAATACACCGGAATCCACACCTCGTCAAATACCAGTGTATTAATAAGATTATTACATCTTGCTTTTTATTAATTTCTTTACAATATATTTTGTATAAAGCCTCGAAACCGAACGTATTAGTTGTATCTGTCATCTTGATATTCACTAATGGATTAGCTCGCAGATTTTTCACAAGCACACGCCATTACTATACTGACATAATTATGGCTGTGTTCGGAAACATCATCCGTGTGAACAGAAGTGTCGTCCGTCGTCCTATCTTTGTTATTTACTAAAAATTGAACAAAGATAGAACGACGCTCGTGTGTACACGGGTAATATTTTCGAACGCAACATACCTATATTCAAGTTGCAGTTTATTGCTACGGATTATAAAACGGCAATTTTTTTCTCGCTAAGAATGTTGTATATAATTCTGAAAAAATTAATTTTGATGTTTTATGCTAAATTTTTATATTATAAAGTTATAAAGAATATATATAGTCTTCAATTTTTGTTATGGATATATTACGCGCATGTTTACAAAACTTCAAAATGTTATTATATGGGAAAAGAAAATAAAAAGTATTTATAATTTATAATTTGAAGTTTTTATTTGTATTACCTCTCTTGCCTATCATGTTCCCTATAACTCAGAATTTAAATTTGTGTAAGTATCGCCAAAGATTGGCCTTGCAGGGAGAGTTTTTTAGCGGGTGCGAGTCCCGCATATCCCACCGGACCGGCCGGTGGGAATCTTGCAGGGAGAGTTTTGCGGCGGGTGCGAGTCCCGCATATCCCACCGGACCGGCCGGTGGGGATGCATAATGCATTTTTCTCTTCCTTCGCAAAACAAAAAAAAAAAAAAAAATCCTAATATGTTTGCGGATTTTGAAGCTTTGAATTTTTAAGCTTCTTGAAATTTTAGTCTGTACAACCTCTTTGCTGATTATGTTTTCCTAATACTTTTGCGGATTTCAAAGCTTCAAATTTTCGCATTTTTAAAATTTCAGTTTGTGCCACCTTCTCGCTGATTATGTTCTCCTGATATTTTGCGAATTTAGAAGCTTTAAATTTTCCGCTTTCTGTAATTTAACTTTATGCGAATTCTTTGCTGATCATGTTCTCCTGATACTTTTGCGAATTTCGAAGCTTCAAATTTTTGCGTTTTAAAAATTTTAGTTTGTGGCATCTCCTTACTGGTTACGTTCTCCTGATACGCCACCTCTTTGCTGATCATGTTCTCCTGATACTTTTGCGAATTTCGAAGCTTCAAATTTTTGCGTTTTAAAAATTTTAGTTTGTGGCATCTCCTTACTGGTTACGTTCTCCTGATACGCCACCTCTTTGCTGATCATGTTCTCCTGATACTTTTGCGAATTTCGAAGCTTCAAATTTTTGCGTTTTAAAAATTTTAGTTTGTGGCATCTCCTTACTGGTTACGTTCTCCTGATACGCCACCTCTTTGCTGATCATGTTCTCCTGATACTTTTGCGAATTTCGAAGCTTCAAATTTTTGCGTTTTAAAAATTTTAGTTTGTGGCATCTCCTTACTGGTTACGTTCTCCTGATACGCCACCTCTTTGCTGATCATGTTCTCCTGATACTTTTGCGAATTTCGAAGCTTCAAATTTTTGCGTTTTAAAAATTTTAGTTTGTGGCATCTCCTTACTGGTTACGTTCTCCTGATACGCCACCTCTTTGCTGATCATGTTCTCCTGATACTTTTGCGGATTTCGAAACCTCAATTTTTCACGGTTTTTGGATTTCTAGTTTGTGCCACCTCTTTGCTAATTATATTTTCTTGATACTTGATTTCAAACAATGCAGTTTCAGAAATTCCAAGAAAAAATCAGCAAAAATGTATCAAGAATGTATATAATTAGGAAAGAGGGTGTGGCACGACAAAATGGATGTGTGGAAATAGATGGGTATGTTCAATCAGAAGACATATGCGTTTTGTATTATTAATGTAATTTATTCGATATTTTTCAAAATTACAAAATGTCTTTTACAAAGTATTATCGATTTTGTTATAAATATACAGCGTTATACATAACTCTTTTCCATTTTGCGCTTTATCAGATGTTTCATCAAACAATAAAAAGAAAAAGAAAAATTATTTAATGTATTTTCTAAGACAGAAAGTACATTAATCTATTCGATATCGCAATATATGTAAAATAAAAACATTCTCGTTACATCGTAATATGCATTGAATATTAAATAGGAATTATTCTTAAGTACTAAAAATAATATGACTTTTATATGCATTCGCAGGTAAAAATATTATATTCATCGCTTTCGCTATTAACAATATTTTGCACACATACATACTCACACACACACACACACGCAGTCATTTTTATTGTTATACAATAATTTTATTAGATACAGGCATTTTATTACATAATATCGGGTATTGAACGCAATCGCTTTCGCTGTTACACTACATTTTGTATACAGACGCACGCACACGGTCATTTTTATTATTATGCAATAATATACACTGGCATTTTATTAGGTATATACATATATCGGGTATCGGACGCAATGCGATTTTTTCATATCAAATCAGCTGTTTTGCGACATTGCCAATTTCTGCATCATCGATAATTTCTTTGCCGCAATAATTATGCTGTGATAATATATTATAAATATATCTCATTAAAGGATAAGTATTCCATAACTGAGTGGTTCGTGAAAGAATAAACTGATTTGAGTTATGTATTTTGAAAACATAATGAGAATTTTTACTATCTATACACATATGCCTTATGCATATATAAAGAAAGGAAGAGAAAATAATGAAAAATACAGCTATATAAAAACACAGATATATATACATATATATAAAAAATATATTTATTAATAATTATCAAGATATAATCATGTCAGAGAGAAGTCAAGGATTGCTAAATGTATTGAATTTAAATATTAATAATCGGATTCAGCATCAGTATCCATATCATATACAGATTCTGGTTGATTACCATCGATTTCTTCTTCACTTTCAGGTTGCGATTTGTCTTTTTGATTTAAAGCATATTGCCTCCAAGGAAATCTATAAAGCACAAAATACTTCAAAATTTTTTTGTACTTTTATAAATATCATGATAAAAGCAAGCATGATGATACCATACCTTATCTTTTTATCAAAACATTCTTCGATAAAAACATGAGAGACAATTTTTGTATGATTTTTAAATTGCTGATATTTTGGTGTATTTTTAAAAGCGCAAATCAAATAAGTACATTTTTTATTAGTCGTATTTGGATCAGGTATGTATCTGGCACCCATACTAAGAGCTTTCCTTCTAATTTCGTCTCTCTGCGGATTAATATATCCACTGAGGGAAAATGTGGCATCGCTGAACAATTCTTTAAATAGTTTTTTACATTTTACAGAAACATTTGCTTTCAAAGCAGTACTTTCGATAGAGGGTGATGGTAATCGTTGACAAGTTCTGCACAACTGATCTTGCGAATCTTTGCAACAGTTAGAGCACTTCTGTTTTTTCTTTTTATCATATTGTGTATTTGGTGAAGCCTCCAATTCGCTTAAAGACCGTTTCTTACAAGGATTCTGAGCGACATCTTTTGCATCATTCTTGTTACCTTTATCAACCAAAGGCACGATGTCTCCAAAAGGAGTTGTGACAACTGTTTTTTCATTTGATACATTTTCTGCATTTCTGCTGTTTTTAGTAGACGTTTTATTCTTATCTTTTGAATCTTGCAATTGAGTCTTATCATTTTTTCCAAAAACTTGATCAGCTTTCCCAGCTTCTAACTTTTCTAATAATGGTCTCTTCATAGATCTAGGTTCCTCTTGACATTTAGTAAAATTTTCCATTGAGTTCCTTTTTATTTGTTCACGCAATTCATCCTTATAATCTGTCTTTTTATTTTCCGTTTTATTAAGGATTCTCTCTTTCATCATCTCCAAAGGTGTCTTCATGACATGTGGTTTTTTCAATTTAAACTTGCCAAATACATCTAAGCCTAAATCAACTGTAGGATCTGATCTTAAAATAATATATGACAGTCCAAACAAGACTTTTAAATTTGCCGATTGCATACAAGTAACTTTGATTCGATCAAATTTAATTTTCAAAGTATCTGGATTTAATTCCCTTTTCGTAAATAATTGTACTTGATCCTTGAACTTATTATTTATTGCTTCATCATTTGTCATAAACTTATGGTTCACTATAACTATCCAATTGTCAGGTTCAGCTGACGTAGATCCAGTGACAATTACCACGCAACTCTGAAAATTGCCAATATCAATTCCCGTGATGTAAGAAGGTTCAACTAATTGAAATATCACTTGGGCCAACATTTCTCCCGGCTTGGCACACCGCCATGTGGCCTTCCAATTTTCTGAATTACGTTGGAGAAGATTGGCGGCAGGATACATAGGATGTTCCGAGGAGCAGCTTATTATCTTTTCAAACTTGACAATCATTTTTATAAATTCCTGTAATACCTATCTTCTTAAGATTTCAAAATTAGTCTCTTAGTACTAATTTTGTTTACATTATACTGGGTAATCGAAAAGTAATTAATAGTTTATAACTCTTCTATTGAAATTTTAAGATACCGCCAAATTTACATCATATACGTACATATCTAACGTAACCTGCGTCACGTTTTGAACCAGGTAATCTTTTTCTTGTATTATCTGTGACAGTGACCTTTCTTGTGTGCGTCTCTATGGGTGCGTTCCATTTAACGACCGCAACGCTCGCGAGCATCATCTGTCTTTGTTTAACTTTCGAGATTGATGGTCAATGAACGAACGAATGAATGTTACATAATTTGTCGTATGTTTAATATGTTGTTATGTAAAGTGTTAAATCAATAAATGAAATGTGTGAAAATGGTTACAAATATATTTCATGAAGTTGGTAACAAAAATGATTTTGAATTCAGCCGCAGGAACGCCACATCGGAGTTTGCCCGTCACTCCTGTCTTCTTCTTCTTCTTCTTCTTTTTATGGCTGGTTGGGCATTAGTCGCCCATACACCATTATTTCTTATGAGTTTGCAAAGATTATATGTTTAGGTTGAGACCTTTAATACCTTTAATGTCATATCACACATATAAAATACATGAACGAAGCATTGACTGCCGATTGGCTATAGGATAGAAAATCTTTTATAGAGTTTCAAAAAGTTCTTGCAATAGCAACCAATCAGTACAAAGCTCTCATGCCATTGGTAACCGCATAGGAAATTTCTGAAGTCCAGAAACTTTCCCTATTCGATAATCAAATCATGTGCGAGATATTCCTTTCTTACAAAAAAAGGATATCTCTAGAGAAAGGCATATATATATAAAAGGAAACCGCCTGAACCGTTTAAATCCGTCAATGTTGGTTGAATGCGCAAGAAAAATGAGGAGAACAAGAAAAGCTGAAACTTTATCTAGGTAAGTAAAAAAAAAAAAATGAATGGAAATAGAAAAGAATAATAGAAATTTTACTTTTCAGCACAAAAAATATTGGAACACAAACAGAATTTGAAAGTTCTGAAATTGCTAAGTTGCAAGAACATTTAAAACTTTTACAGTTACAAATTGATAATCTAACGCAACATACGAAAACATCTGACAAATTTAATGATTCTACACAATACAAACAATTTTATACGCCAGAAATTAAAAGCAATATTAAGAAATGTAACTGTAAAGGTAATTGTTCTTCACGTATATGTGGATGCGTGAAGAGAAACAATATTTGCAATTCTTCATGTAGTTGCAAATACAATACATGCCAAAACCAGGTAATTTTTATTACTTTTATAAAAATCTGTAAAATGTCTTTTAAAATATTCTATATAGAAATTAATTTTATTTGTTATAGAAATCAGAAAATGATGAAAATGACACTAAAAATAATATAGATGAAGCTGTAGAAACAAGTAAAAACTTTCAAACAAACAATGAAAATTTGATGGTAAGAAATGAATTAAATAGTTTCTTTTCACCTAGTTTTTTATAAGTCTTATCCAATGAAAAATATTTTTGCATCTTTTTTGCCTCTAATACAATCATATTTTGTATTGCACAAAAACATGTAAAAATATGGTGTGAAAAGATATTGTGAATACATAATATTTTTTTACAGATTTCCATTTTTACATTCAGTAACATGGTAGGATAATTTTGCCCATCTTTTTGCAGGCAATGGTTGATTTTAGGAAGCCACGACGATTGTTAGAAGCATCTTTATATGATATAAAAATCGAAAAAAATAATACTGAGACCCACCAAGGAGAGTCATCTTTTCAAGGTACGTCATTACTTATTATTATTATAAACATTTACAATGTCATTGTTATTATTCTCATCTGTGAATTCCTTTCCTCATCATGTTACTTGTTATATATTACTATATTTTTCTTGAATTTTTAATATGCCGATAATTAAGATCTTATTAAAATAAAATCCAGTCAGATTAAAGAAATTTTTATTGTCTATTATACTTGCTTATATGTTTGAAGCTTTTGATTCTTTAAATACATCAGATAAAGATTATTAATTATATTTTCTATATAATCAATTTTAGATATAAAGGAAGAAGAAGTTGATTGGCAACAACACATTGCACAACTTATCCGTTGCAAAAAATGTAAGAGGACCTTTATGCCACATCGCATCCAGAAACATGAAGCATGCTGTAAAGGGATTTAAAAGAATATTCTGCAAAATAATTCTGATTGTATAAGAGTGTATCAGATTTTAAAGATTAACTCTCATGTAAATAAATAAAATATATTTTATGGTTTGATTAAAACAATGATATATGTACTAACAATGGTAAAAATGACAAATATATAAATATACAAAAAGATATATGTAAAGGCATGATTCTACAATATAACCTTTCACGCTGTATGTAATCATGAAAAAATTGACCTATGGTTGATCATCTTTGATATTACTTTGTCGATGACTTTGTGATGGTGCCATCTTTGATTCTATATTTATATAATTTAAATTAAAATGGAACGTTTGACTGATATTTTGCAGCCGCATATTCGGGCTAGTATAATTAAATTATCCTACGTAGACGAATTGTTTGTAGATCTCAAGGATAATCCGTATATCATTCTTCACAGAAATGTGAGTGCAAGAATAAAATTTTACTTTTTTTCTCTTACAAATTTTGTATAAAATATAATTTGTGCTTCTTTCTGTCACTCAGGTTCCTGAATTGAAACTTTTAGACCATAACAATGAAGAAAGAAGTTGCGACGAATATTCGACGAGTAATAAAGATATATTTAAATTTAAAAATTAATTATACACTGTTGGAAATACATAAAGACTAAAATTTTTTTAGAACATGATTCACCTCTCAGTGGCTCACCTCTGAAATATTCATTTGATAATTATGAATTAGAGGACACTATTGTTGTAGCAAGACAAACTTGGCGAAAACAAGAGGAGTCATATTTACCACTGAGTAAAAATGATGCATGGTGTGTATATACAGTACATAGTCAATAAGAATTTTATATATATATATAAAATTAAAATATAAGATACATATATAAATATTAAAATATTTTTAATATGATAGATTGACACATAACTTTTTTTTTCTAGTAATGCATTGAACGCATGTCTGGAATGCCTTAATAATAATACTTTGCCAATATTAGCTCTTTGTGATGGAAAAGATCCTAAACAAAGCAGACTTATTGGTGCCGTTATCCGTGAAGATTGGTTTACCACATTGGAAGCTGTTTCTACTGGCGTGACAACTCTGACTACAATAAGAAATGAACGCCAGAAAATTATACAGGAACATCTTAAGCGATCATTTGTACAAGAACATGATGTATGTAATACACAAATTTAATAATTTCAATTAGAGACTAATAATTTCAATTAGAGACTAATAATTTCTAATATCCGTAGATTAAGATATCTATGTTTAATACCTTTGACTTGTTTGGGATAAGAAAAGAAATGATTGATTGGGATAAGACTGCTAAAAGTGATTTTGAAGGAAGTATTAACATTGAAATACATTCAAATAAATTGATAATAAATCCGAGATCTGAAAAATCAAAAAATAATTTGGTATGTATAATATATGTACAAATAAATTACATAAAAATAAAAATGTTTCTGTTTTTATAATACAATTATTTTTGTAGATCACTCAAATAAATGCTGGATGGAAAAATAGCTCTCTAAAAGAACTACGATGCCAATTACTTTTATTAATCCAATATTTATCAATAATAGATGAGTACAAAAAAAATATCGGGATGCAAAAACCAATAAAATTTTCGACACCATATTCAAAGGTAGACAGACTTTTGTATCTTCTACAAATATGTTATAATTTTATATAATTATCTTTCATATATTTTTTGTATTATGCATTTTAATATTGTAGGAATATAATGTTATAATGGAAGAATTAAATCTTTTGTTAAATGGAGACTTTAGTTTCAAAAGATTTGATAAAAGCAATGTTAAAGGAATTGATCATATAAACAAGGGTAATATTGATATTGATGCAAAACTGTTAGAACGAATACAAAATGTATTTTTGAGAGACAATGTAGATTTTACCGATCGTTTGTGGGAAATACTTATAAGTGAGTAAACTTTTTCTTTGAGAGCAAAAATTGATTATATATGTACTTATTAATTTTGTGTCTTTTTTTCATTTCAATATGTGCGAAAAGAGGCTTCAGAGTATTCACAAATGATAAGCTGTATTGAAATAATTCTGGAGAAAGTTCTTAAACATAAATTTACACCACAGGTAATCAAAAATATATTCCCATCTGAGAATATAATTTGAGTTATGATATGATATAATATGTGATTACATTTTCAAAATATATTCACATATTATATCACATCATATCTCAAATTATATTCTCATGTATTATCTTAATAATACAATAATGAAAACAATAATTTTTTACATCTTTGTCAGATCAATGATACAAATTCGACAAGACTTATAAAACGTATTTCTGATCTACATCATCAAGATACAACATCCCATTTACTAGTAGGAAGCGTACCGTTAGAACTTATTGTAGATATGGGATTTGAGAAACTTAGACGAGACTATTTATATATCTTGAGAGGAGCGCGATTTGTTGATTTACAGGATGTACGACAGAAATTAATCGATATATCTTCTGGAATGTTCAATACAGAAAATTATAGGTAATATGCACACACACACACAGGAATATTTATCTATAAATTAAAAAGATTATATTTTTAATTAACATTAACTATACTTTTATTGCAGAAAAAAATTGGTTACGTTGGCACAAATTCATCTTTGTTTAGAATGCATGCTACTTATTGAAGGGCATCTGGAATGTTCAATTGAAAGTTTGCAAGATTTATTTGCTTACGCTTACAAAGAATTTGTTTCTGCACAGTCTCCTTTACAAAATTACACTGAGCTTTGTAGCCAAATCTTTACTTTGATGATGCCTCTACCCAACAAATTAGTTAACGAGTTAAACAAGATGTATGTAAATTTAATCTTATAAACATTTGATATAAAAATGTTCAAAAAACTTTTTTTTTGCAGATGAAATAATATATAAATTGTAGGAAATGGTATATAAAACTCACGTATATATATTAATTTTATTTCAGGAATCCTTCTGTATGCAGAACCTCTATTTCATCTCAATCTGCTGCATTGATGCTAACAACTACTACCTATTATAGCAAAACGCCTATTTTTCCAATGGATATGTATCCTATTGGTAAAGCAAATAGTTCCAAGTATCAATTAAAATCTCTGAAAATTTATGCTGTGCAATATATGATTGAATTCCTGTTGATGTAGTTTATTTATCTATTCTGTTTGTCTTTCTATCTTTTCAGATAATGCAAATACACAGGAGGAAATAGTTTATGGTATAAGCGCAACATCATCATCGACGAAGTATAAAAAACTATGAAACGCAATACTCCTGCGTTAATATTGAAGAAACAAAATAAAATTTCAGAGCTGGTACAATTTTGGATGAATTGAACATAATGTGAAAGAAGATAATTAAAACATTTAATTAATAATTAATAAAATAAAACTTATATAAAAGCATTTGTCAAATACAATTACATGTATTAGATATATAAATATAACTACATTTATGAGTGTTTGTACTCTCAGTCATTGACAATATACACTCGAGCATGCAATTAGTCATTCTCCGTGATTGACACAAATCTTATTTCGATATCATATTGCAAAGTGTTTTTTCTTTCTTTTTTTTTCAAGGATTATTTTTAATGTACAAAAGTATATATGATATTTAAAATTTTCGTCCAATAAGAGATAAATTTCGTAATCGATATTAAAAATGAATTTGTTATACGTACAATATAAACTTTTTACAGAATGCATAAATAACATTACGTATTGATTATTATTATATTCCAATCTTGTTCAATATACTTTGATGGCTTTCTCAAACCAATGTCATTTTAAAGCGATAAAACTTCCCTTCCTTGTTAGCCACTAAATAAAGCATGGCTTTATATATAAGTAAGTACACAAGTATTAACAACGTATATGTCATTATGGAAAATGCAGGCAGGGTGATTAAGGCATATTTTTTTCAAACTTTAATACTGAGATGCATCTGCGTCATCCATTCCAGAGACACTGGCTTGTTCTAATACCTCAAGGAGCTTCTGCATTTCCATAGAGTCAGACGAATTATCGAGCGTTCTTTCCAAAGCTCGCACATACGACATGCATGTTCGTCCTTCGTGATCTAGATTCTGTGGATTCGCTTTATGCTGCAAAATTTGCGATGACATAACTTTAAAACATGAATTCTACGTCTCCGTTTCAACTAAAGCTAGAAAAACGTACCCATATTAAAAGTTGCGCCATTGCTAAATTTCCTGTTGCGCATGCCAGATGTAACGGTGTTCTCAGATCTTCCGTACTAACCGAAATATTGATATCCTCGTAACTACATCGGGCCAAGCATAATGTGAATGCTCGCATATCTCCTCTATATATTCAAAGATAGACAAATTACAAGAATATACACAAAATTAATTAACATTTCAGATTTCACACATTCCATTAAATAAATAAAGCGTCTTACCGACAAACGGAATCGATGAGCAATTTTCCTAAAGAAATGTTCGGATTAATCGGTGGCAGAAAGAGTTTGTCCTCGTATTTCCATCTGATCCATTGTTCTTTCTCTTCCCTAGACGAATCTGAGACCGGCTTTTGCTTCCCGTTTAAACAATATTCCCAGATACTGTTAGCTATATCGTTGCCAAGGGCTAGCATGACGCTCAGGTGACCTGCGCTAAAATCATTGTTAAAGATATATTTTTAAGTAAAGGACATAATTAACACGAGACGAATCTAAGTGGACGCGTATTATGTAGCACATGTACAAAGTTTTGCATTATACTTACGACCAGTCGTCCAAATCTAATGATCGAACCTTTGATATGTGCGAACCTAAGTTTCTGTGAATACCAGAACACTCGATGCACACGAGTACACCCAAATTAAGACTGGCCCAATCGGGATCTAAAATAAATAGACATGTGATTCATGCGATATAATTGATTCTACGATAATTAATAAGGAAAAAATCTTCACTCACTCGGTGCACCGCAATCGACGCATGCATCATTTCCCGAAACTTTGTTCTTTATACAATGCATCTTAAAAGCGTCGGTTTCATTTTTCTTATCACCATCACTATTTTGTAAACTTGATAGTATTTGTTGCTCTATTGCAGCAATCCAGTTGTCTCTATCTTCAGCATTGTTTGCCTCAAAGTGCCAAGTTTTATTCTCCAAGGAGATAATAGAAAATTCGAAACTGTCTTCTAAAAAGCCATATTTTACGATAGATAAAAATATATTTAAAATGTTAAGTATATACATGTAAAAAAACATAAAAAGATATAATACCTTGAGCATTGTAGGATTTGGAACCTTTTGGAGTTTTACCAGGCACCTTCACAGTAACATATTGCAATAGTATTTCTTTGCCATTAGTATCATTCATGTAATCCTGAAAATGCCTTCTTTTTGTAAACAGATCATATAAATATGCATGAAAATATAGTTTTTATGTAATAATGAATAATTACATGTAAACTTGAATGATACGTCAAACGACCATCCTCTAACAATGTAACATATTTCTTCTTCCATTCTTTCAACGATTTGCTACTTCGTTTAAACAAATAACCTTGTTTAACTGGTATTTCTCTACCAACTCCCATTTCGCCCATATATTTCTCCTTTTTAGATGGTGTAAATATATTCGATTTTCTTCTAAATTTCCTGGAAAATAAAAGAATATATATTAGTTATTAGATGTATCAATACAAACATTTGAGAAAGAAGTCCAAAAAAAAAAAATAAATAAATAAATAAATAAATAAAAAGAATGTATTGTTTAAACCTAATAGTAGTTGGTGTTAAAATCGACGATCGTAGTTCTCCATGTTGATTTTGTACATCATGAAAATTATCATTTAGCAATCCCGAATCGTTGGGCACAGAATTATTATGAATCGATCGGCAATCTTCGTCTTTTTCCGTAATCTATCGAAAGATAAAATGTGTTTTAATAATCTTGTTTAATTTTCAATGATTTGCTTATAGATGCGATAGCAGCAGATAAAATAATTCGCATTTACTTTCAATGAATTTGTGGTCTCCATCTCTTTGTTTTGAAGTTGCACATTTTTAGTAGTAACAGGGACTGGAAACTTAATGTCATTCTCTGTACTGTGTTGGCATACATCGCATGGAAAATGTTTCATCGATATATTCTGTATGATTTTTTGACACACTAAAAATTTATATGTTATTAAGCACAATGTGTTGCCAAGATGCAATATTTCATAATTGGTAATATATATCTGTTTATTTTTTTTTTCGTGTAAATAATATATATTCTTACCATCTTGAAATACCCTTTCAACATTTAAGCCATAAATAGCGCATGTTTCATAATAAGGGCATCTTAGATCACAAGCCAGTTTTCGCGGTCTAACATCTTTTATGACACGAGGATTACTGTCATTAATCGAATCTAGAAAATTAAAAGTTCAGCAAAATAATATTTGTAATAAATAAAAAAGATTCTGAGGAAATGTACACTTTGTATGCGCACAATGTACGCACCTTGTACACCTACAAGTATTTTTGGTACCTCCGACATATTCCGGAAAGAACACATTCTATTATAAAAACTGCAAACTATAGAAAAGCTCTCTTCATTTTCTAAACTGAATACGAGTAATAAAGCATCTATCCAAGATGAAAACTGAAACCAATGAAATTTATCTGTTAATATTAAATCTATTAATGTAGCAACCAGCAATGATTGTACTATCTTAATATGCAAAATAAAATGATTTTATTACATACTTGAGCCTCTGGCACACCACCTTCATCTCTGATTAAAAGTAGATAACTCTGGTCATTAATAAAAATTTCCTTTTTAAAGCGACCACCTTCTGGCGATTCCTCGTGCATAAAGGATCCAGTAAGGTACCTGTGAACGAGAGCCGATTTTCCCGAGTCTGAGGAACCAATGATTCCCAAGTGCAATTCTGGGACATCCCTCGCCAGGGTCCATTCATGACTGTTGACGAAGGAATCTGAAGAAACACAAATTTACATTATGGAGTAACATATACGGTGTAACAATCTTAATATAATATTACTATTTAATTGCATTATTATTATTACTATACTATATTATTATTTTTTGTAATATATGCCAATTATCGTTGCACAGAACGAATATTTGCGCCACTGAGGAACAGAATATAAAATCATCGAGTATGTATATATATACCTTCTATCGCCACGACGTGCTCGCGAATTTGCTTCGCGATGTGCGCGTCGGGCACGAGCTCTATTAGGTCGTAAATGGCATATATCGACGGATGAACGCTCTCGAAACGTTGTATTTCCTGCCTGATAGCGAGAGAATGATCGTGTCCGCTCTGACCAGTTGTCATTTTCCCAACGTCCGATTTTCCTCGACCTTCGACGGTCTATCACATTAACGGCATTGCTTCGAGGTGCATCGCGCGGGCATCACCGAAGACGGAAAAGATCGCGTAAAAATTCGACGAGCTTGTCGCCGATCTCGCCTAACATATGTCAAATTCGAGTATTTATAAACATTACCGTCGCTCTCGAGATCGGCGAGGTTGGTTATGTGCACGCACTTGCAATCGAAAGCGAACGCGCAGTTCTCATGAAGATTGTCGTCTGAACAACATGGCCGATTTCATTCGTATTCGCCATTTGCAATCGCCCGGGTATTGCGCGCTCCAAAAGAGCAGAGTAGCGTTTCATCGACCAATCAAAACGAAGAGATTTTTCGTTTCTTTTGTCCCAATCACGGTCTTACATACCGTGGTCCTGATTGGTCAATCGAACGCTGGAGGTGAATTGTGGAACGCAACTCAGGAGGCACCGTGACTTTACGCGCATGCGCAGCAACGGTAGGATGTGACGCGTCACTTATCCCATGACATGACATTTCACGGCAAATGACTTTCCGGAAATAATTGTAGGTACCGACGTCGGATACCATCTTGTTTTTTGCTGCACGAGACGTAACCGCAAGCTTTCAGAAGGGAATTAGGGGATTTTATAAAGTGATTTCATAAAATCAGGGGAATTTCGTTTGTACTACATTTCTTATATGTACCGTGTTAATAAAAGAACTTGCAATTGAAGACATTTTTCAGACATTCGAGAGTCAGCTTTTACGCGAGACAATCTGCGTTCGTCAACGATCCTAGTCTTTGTAATTGCGACGCAATTGTAAGCCATTGTTAGATTATTCTCATCAGCAAGTAATTTGAGAAGGATCTGATTTTTGAGAAGCTCGTTCAACACCAAATAAAACAAGATGGGTCGAAAAGGTACGACGTACTAGTCATCGTTATATGCGACCATTGCAGAGATCATTTCGCAAATGATTTTTACGCAAGTTATATTAGTCAATAATTGATTAATCACGTAATAATGATTCATTCTTTTGTTACTTTAAAATTATCTGTTGGGACTAAAAGAGAAACTTCAGCATATAGAAATAATTATATAAAACAAATAACATTTATATTTTTGTTTAACATATGTAATCTATATAATTGATTACTATAATTCAATGTTACAATGATCTTTATAGCTGAAATGGCTGTGTTAGTTCAGAGCTTATCTTTCTCCTGCCAATGTGGAGAGAAAAAGATAAATTCTGAACTAGTGCAGCCAGTTCATAAAAAACAGACTCTAGATCACTTCAATATTACAAGAAACAAAAAGTAGTATGCCAGAGATCTATTTGTATTGCTTGCATTCTTTGTACTTAGAATCATTGCTTTTTCTTTCTCTCTCTGTCTCTCTCTCTGTCTCTCTCTCTGTCTCTCTCTCTCTCTCTCTCTCTCTCTCTCTCTCTCTCTCTCTCTCTCTCTCTCTCTCTCTCTCTCTCTCTCTCTCTCTCTCTCTCTCTCTCTCTCTCTCTCTCTCTCTCTCTCTCTCTCTCTCTCTCTCTCTCTCTCTCTCTCTCTCTCTCTCTCTCTCTCTCTCTCTCTCTCTCTCTCTCTCTCTCTCTCTCTCTCTCTCTCTCTCTCTCTCTCTCTCTCTCTCTCTCTCTCTCTCTCTCTCTCTCTCTCTCTCTCTCTCTCTCTCTCTCTCTCTCTCTCTCTCTCTCTCTCTCTCTCTCTCTCTCTCTCTCTCTCTCTCTCTCTCTCTCTCTCTCTCTCTCTCTCTCTCTCTCTCTCTCTCTCTCTCTCTCTCTCTCTCTCTCTCTCTCTCTCTCTCTCTCTCTCTCTCTCTCTCTCTCTCTCTCTCTCTCTCTCTCTCTCTCTCTCTCTCTCTCTCTCTCTCTCTCTCTCTCTCTCTCTCTCTCTCTCTCTCTCTCTCTCTCTCGCAGCGAGGCCATGCGGCTTCTTCTCTTTTTCTGTTTTTTTTTTTTCTCTCTCTCTCTCTCTCTCTCTCTCTCTCTCTCTCTCTCTCTCTCTCTCTCTCTCTCTCTCTCTCTCTCTCTCTCTCTCTGTACTGCCGAATATATGTCTCATTTTAAATGCAAAAAGTTTTGGGAGTTTCAGCAACACAAACAAGCTCGACTTATGTTTAAAACGTAATATATTGACAATTTACTCTTATACATACTTGTACTTGTAAGAGAAAATTGAAAGGACACTTGTTTTAAACAGAGAACTTGAATTTAATTTTTTTCTAATAATGAATTAATTAAATCAAGATTCAAGTATATGTTATCTGATACTAATGCAAATTGTAAAACATGATTAATATAGGCTGTTTAAAATGTGTGTACAAGAAATATATAATATGTATTACAGGAAAAAAGAAGAAGCAGGGCACTGAGGAAGAAGCTGCATCAACTTCAAAAGCTACTTCCAGTGAGCAATTACAAAAGGAACAGGCCTCACAGCAGAAAGAACAAGAGAAACAAGTAACTCAAGGTTTACCACAGAAGCAGCAAGTATCACCAGGTCCACCTCAACAACCTCAATCTCAATCTCAGCTACAAGGAGCATGGGCTCAACCTCGATCACAGCAGCAAGTACGAGGCACACCACAACAGCAACAAGAGCAAAGAGCACGGGACCAACCACAACAGCAAGTACCTCGAGGCCCTCCATCATTGCAACAACAGCCAGGAGGTCCACCACAACCACAAGGAGCATGGGGTCAACCACAACAACCAGCAGTACGAGCTCCACAACCACAAGGAGCATGGGGTCAACCACAACAAGCAGCAGCACGAGCTCCACAACCACAAGGAGCATGGGGTCAACCTCGATCACAACAGCAAGGAGCATGGGGTCAACCACAACAACCAGTAGCACAAGCTCAACAACCGCAAGGAGCATGGAGTCAACCCCAATCACAACAGCAAGTACCACGAGGCCCACCACCATCGCAACAACAGCCAGGAGTGCAAGGTCCACCACAGCAACAAGAAGCATGGGGCCAACCCCAATCACAACAGCAAGTACCACGAGGCCCACCACCATCGCAACAACAGCCAGGAGTGCAAGGTCCACCACAGCAACAAGGAGCATGGGGCCAACCCCAATCACAACAGCAAGTACCACGAGGCCCACCACCATCGCAACAACAGCCAGGAGTGCAAGGTCCACCACAGCAACAAGGAGCATGGGGCCAACCACAACAACCAGTAGCACGAGCTCAACAACCACAAGGAGCATGGGGTCAACCCCGATCACAACAGCAAGTACCACAAGGCTCACCATCATTGCAACAACAGCCAGGAGTGCAAGGTCCACCACAGCAACAAGGAGCATGGGGCCAACCCCAATCACAACAGCAATTACCACGAGGCCCACCACCATCGCAACAACAGCCAGGAGTGCAAGGTCCACCACAGCAACAAGGAGCATGGGGCCAACCTCGATCACAGCAACAAGTTTCAAGTAAAATATTTTTTCAATATATACAATTTTGAAAAATGTACCATTAAAACATTTTACATAAATGTATGAATTTTTCCATATATATATGTCGCGTAAATTTATGTTATTGGCTAAAGCTTATGTTTAGGAGGAATATTTAGCCACAATTATTTCAATTCTATACACACGCACATATATGCTTGTATGCTGTGTATGTGTATAAAATTGTACTTTTATTCTTTTGTAGCTGATATTGGTGGTGGTGGTGATTCTAAATTAGTAACTGGCAAAGATGATATGCAGCAACCAACAACAAGTATACAATCTGAGGTACAACATTTATGGATTAATCATTTATATAATTATAAAGAATATCTGTTAAATAGATTCTCATTTAATATCTCATTCTTGTCAATTCATGAAATGATTTTTTTTTCTTTAGTTATCTCAAATGTCTCTGAGAGATCCATTAACACAGACAAAAACTTCTCTAAAAGCAAAAATGACATCTAGTGCCATGAAACAATATCAACTCGCTATACCGAGGAGGAAAAATCCTTGGAAAGCTGGAACATTAGGAACACGGATTACCGTTTATACAAATATGTTTGAAATCATATTTAATACAAATTTTATAACAAATGCTGTTCATTATGATGTGGATATTACGCCTATTGCTCCAAAAGCTTTATATAGAAAAGTTTTCGAACAATGTAGGGTTAATTACTTTAAAAACAGATATCCAGCATTTGATGGCAAAAAAAATGCATACAGTGCAAATGATCTACCTTTCAATGATTCTGTAAGTAATACACAGCATATATGCATATTTTTATAATAATATAAATATCTATGAATAATATGATTTATAATTTTACTTGATCAATATTTAATTCTAGGATATAAGTACAAACTACAAAATAAATTTTTCATTCATCTCTTAATCACAAATTGTTTCATTATTTTGTCCAGATGGAAAGTGATATCGAAATTTATGATAATGAACGCGAGAGACAAAGAACATTTAAAATTGCTATAAAGAAAGTAGCTAATATTGATCTTAGTTGGGTAAAAAATTTACATCCTGGTGTTGATGAGGCTGACAGAGATCAAACCAGTATACAAGTTTTAGATATCATCATGCGTCATGCACCCGAGTCACGATTTTTGAGCGTAAGCAATTAATAGTGATTGTAATTAATATATATACTATTTTTTATGATTATAACAAGCAATATGTGATAAATCAACTGCAATTTTATATCATAAAAAAAAATATATATATATATATGTGTATAACATTATATAATACTATAATATTGTTTGAATGTAAGAATGTAATTTTTCTTTCACAAAAAATTTACACTTTATAAAATACGATTTAATAAACAGAACCGATATGTATAAATGCATTATACATACATATGATTAACGATATAAAATATATTATGCACTATTATAGGTTGGAAGATCATTATTCTGGAATACAGATGATTCAGAACCATTAGGTGGTGGTTTAAGTCTGTCGCGCGGTGGATTTTCATCTGCTGTACTTGGCTGGAAACCATATATAAATATAGATGGTAAAATATTATATTAATTGACACATTTAAATGATACAAAGGTTTTACAAAAACTTTAGGACTGTAAATTATTTCTATATCAAATAATTTTGTCTATCTATATGTAACATTTATTATATTTCGATTTTTTTTTAGTTGTCCATAAAGGATTTCCTACATCTCAGAACGTTATCAGTTTAATGGCTGAGCTTACGAGAGCAAGAGGCCAAGCACCAAGTCCAGCAGAAGTGAATGATAGACGGAATCGGGAGAAAATAGAGAAATTTTTAAAGGGTTTAAAAGTAATTTATCAAATACCCGGTCAATCGCGTACAAAACGAACGTATCGTTTAAATGGATTAGGTCCAAGTGCTGTTCAACATCAATTCGAATGTGATGGATCAATGATAACAATAATACAATATTTTGCGCAATCAAAGAATTACAATTTGCGTTATCCCGATCTGCCTTGTCTCTGGGCGGGCGCGACGAATAGGGCAGAAAAAATTTATTTGCCCGCCGAAGTACGTAAGCCGTTTTATGTTTGCTACAAATGATTGAGTAAGACTGATTGAAATATCGCCTCAAATTTACAGTTATGTACCATTGCGCCTGGTCAGTCTATTAACAGAAAATTGGATGAAGAACAAACTACCAGCATGATTAGATACGCATCAACGCCTGCACCTATTCGTAAAAGGAGAATAGAAGATGCGGTAAGAGCAGATTTCATATTGTTGCATTAAAAATATTATGTCATAATTTATAATATAATTCGTTTGTAGTTTGCAAAGATTGATGTGAATAATAGTCTCACTATGAGACAAGAATTCCATATGTCTGTACATCCAAGAATGAAAGAAGTGGATGCTAGGATTTTACCTGCTCCGTTATTACAATATAATGGAAGAGTGGCAAGAGTGAACAAAGGAATATGGCAGATACCTGGAACATTCCTGGAAGCCAGTAATTTAGGAAAAGATACATGGACTATTCTTGATTTGAGTAACGCAATATTGGGCAGTCTTATACATGAATTTGTAACTGCATTGAAGCAATGTGGTTAAGTATATAAAAAAATACAAATTAAAATATTGAAATTGTGCATTATTATATGGATATTTTCATTAAAAAATATAATGTGTTAATTCATATTGAATTGTTTGTTTTTGTAGCAAACGAAGTTGGTATGGTTATTGGAGAGCCCCAAACTCCATTTAAAACTTTGAAATCGTACAATCACGCAGAGATCACTGAATATTTTAGATCAAGAAGGGGTTTAAATTTAATAATAGTGATCATACCAGATCGTACAGATACAACATACGGTGAGGGCATAGTTTTCTAAAATATTCTTTCATTCTGAATGCAAATTTAAAATTATTTATATGTTTCAGGCAAAGTAAAACAGATCACCGAGTTAAAAATGGGTATTCTAACACAGTGTATAAAGTTTAAGACTATAAAGAAAAACAGCTACTCGGCAGTAAAAAACATTCTTCTAAAGATAAATTCGAAACTAAATGGTGTTAATCATATAATCAATTCACAATCTATGTAAGTAAGACTTGTTTCTTACTGTTCTATGAAAAGATATTATTTTTAATACTTTTGTATATCTTTTTTTTCTCTTTTTTCTTTTTTAGACCATATTGTTTAAAGAATAATGATTGTATGCTTGTTGGTGCCGATGTGACACATCCATCTCCTGATGCTATTAATATACCCTCTATAGCGGCGGTGAATATAACTCTAAATAGTGTTTTTTTTCTTTATATGAATAATGTGTGTGCATTAATAAGAAATATCATTAATTTAGGTTGCTGCAAGTAGTAATACTTCTGCTTTCCAATATAACATTGCGCTTAGGCTTCAACAACCCAAAGAAGAAATGATTTTAGATATTGAAGAAATAATAATATCGCAACTACAGATCTATAAGGAGAAAACATCGCGTCTACCTAATAAAATTATCTATTACCGGTATTTATTGCCTGATAATATTGTTTGATGTTATGCATAACATTTTTAAGATTATAAATTATCGTATGTTTTGTCATATATCTATAATTGCACATCAATATTTTAATGTATAGAGATGGAGTCAGCGAAGGGCAACTTGCTCAAGTTATGCACTTCGAAATAAGCGCCATTAAACGTGCGTGCACAAGATGGAAGGCCGGTAATATTCAAATTACTTGCCTGGTTGTTCAAAAGAGACATCATGTGCGTCTTTTCCCAACGCATGACGCGGAGTCCGATGACAGAAATAAAAATGTGAAAGCAGGCACGATTGTCGATACTGAAATTACTCATCCAAATCACATTGATTTTTATCTCGTCTCACATGCGAGCATTCAGGTAAGGTTGTTCTGATTAGAAAAATAAAATTTTGTTATATAACTAAATATATACTTCAACATTGAAAAAAGACATACCGATAGAAAAACTAATAACTAACTTAACTTATAATATCAATAGACATATAATTATAACAATCGACTTTAAGAAACATCAAAATATATCAGTAATGATCAAATTTATGCAAATGTTGTATTTCTTCAATCGTTGAGTAAAGTTTATATCTCTTAAATGCAGGGTACAGCGAGGCCTACAAAATACAGATGCATATGCAACGAATCTTCTTATACGGAAGATAATATTGAGGAATTAACATATTATCTTTGTCATATGTACGCACGGTGTACGAGAGCGGTAAGCTATCCCGCACCAACTTACTATGCTCATTTAGGAGCTTATCGTGGAAGAGCCTTAATAGAAGGGTAAGCGATCGATTGTGATATAAATCATGCAAATCTATTATGATTTCGACAATTTATGCAGCAATGTTTCTATTTGCAGAGTTCCAATTTGCTTGGATAATTTAGATGCAGAACAGAATAAATTGTTTATGATAATTATGAAAAAAACACCAATGTGTTTTGTTTAACAAAACAGAATCTGCTTTCCGAAGATTATCAAGGATTGCTTTATATTCGCTTAATATCTTTAATTATAGTTTAACTTTTTTTAACGGTATGGGCGGGTATGAGTTTATTATATAAACATTTTAAATGATTAAATTTCTTATTTCAGTTAATTGATACATCTATTCCAAACTGAGTCGATGATAATGTTAATATAATCGTTTTTCCTTGTCTATATTTTATATTTCTAATTTATATTTCTTTTATATTTCTCTGTCATATTCTTGAATAATTATCTTGCCACAGTAATAATTATCAAAAGTTTTGCTTGATAATTATTACTGTCAAGACTTTTATTTCTGTTTTTTGATTATTAATTATATTTGACACAAAAATTCGGATTTATTGCTATTATTAAACATTCAATATACAAACAAAGATATAGAACCTACATCAAAATGCACATATGTATATGTTCGTGCATATAATTTAAATTTTTTGAAAAATTTGAAAAATTTAAATTTTTTTTTTTTTTTTTTGCTTATGAGTTTATATATATATATACCTACAATAACAATTGTAATACTCTGTTTATACTGTTAATTACAATACAAATAATATTACAATATTTGTTTCTGCAATTGTACAATTACAGTATAAACAATTATATTTATTGTTTATACAATTGTACAATTGTACATTATTTTTATATATAATACTATAATGTGTAACGTTATTTGTTTCGCGTATTTATATATACACTAATCGTGAATCACGAAATAATATGTCACAGGATTTTCATATATATATATATATATTACGAGGTATTTCCTAATTCTGATTCTATCTTGCGTTTTTATAAATGGAGTAATAAAACAGAGCTAATTAAGAAATTATTTCCGAAACTGTGTATATGTTAAAGAAAAATAAATAAACTAAAAAAGGATATTGTTATCGTATATAAAATAAAAGGAAATTATACATAAGAAATCGTAAATATGTGTAAGTATGTCAACATATTTACTATGAGAAGAATGTGATTGTGCATTGATCGCATTCTGGTGCATTTATATATCATATAGTACTTATAACGATCGTATTATAGGTCTCGGTAGTCCCTTTTCCTATCTACAGATTACAGGTGCGATCGGGGATAAAAATGGAAGAAGGATGCTGAGCATAGAGAGAAAAGAAGTTCAAGATGAAATCATTTATAACGCGCGACACCCACATGGTTTTCACGATGAGGACCATGTATGGACGCGTGACGTCAACGTTACTTTTGCGTTTATCAACGTGTACATGCGTGTAGGCGCTTGACAGGGCATAGAAGGCAAAGTCCGTGGGAGAACACTAAAAAATCGGGGCCTCGACATATCCGTGCGATCGATCCATCGACGATCACACCTTGAATTCGATGTATGCGGGGCTTATTCTATTCCATTGCCGATAATTCTTCCGACGAAAGGTGATTTGTAAACGATGGAACATGATCTAAAAATATAAAAACGCTTTGCAATCTAAAATTCTGGATTTCTAAGCCAACGAATTTATATCTCGAACGCTAGATTTATGTAATTGCATTTCGCCTGTAAAAATGTTCGTTTATATTCTTGAAATACAGAATGCATAAATGCGATTTTTATTTTTAGAGACCTGACTTTTGTTTCAATGTGAAAGTGAAACAAAGGCACAACGATAATTTTAAAATAGCTAGGGGGCAAGAGCGGAAAAACCAAAGATTCTTTCGACACATTAGTTATTTGTGATTCTAGCATAGATTCAACGAGTGTCTCCGAATTTTATATATCCGTTGGAAAACATATTTATACAAAAATGATTTTTTTTATTACTTTATTTATTAGCTTTTGCATTTGAATTAATCAAGATTAGCTTGCCACCTTCCTGCCCCTGTTTACTATATACGATTCATTTGTGATTCTAGCATAGATTCAACGAGTGTCTCCGAATTTTATATATCCGTTGGAAAACATATTTATACAAAAATGATTTTTTTTATTACTTTATTTATTAGCTTTTGCATTTGAATTAATTAAGATTAGCTTGCCACCTTCCTGCACCTGTTTACTATATACGATTCTTGTTCTCGAAGTAAAATGTAATAAACGTCGTCGATTGTAATAGACTCAATCTGTATCTTTGCGACTGGGGCATGCTATCTTGTCTCTCTTTTCCGGGCATTTAAACGCTTCGCAATCGTGTGCGTTCTCTTTATAGCGACTTGTAAGGACAAACTGGCGCACCGTTGATAGCATTAATTGTCAATGGCGATTATCTAATGACACTTCCATCGGCGTTCTAGCTAGAAAAAAGTTGTGGTAACATTTCTCGTATATAATTAGTGCTTTATATGAATAATTCTATATAAAAATATGCTCCGTAAACCTACAAAATAAATTTGTGATAAAACGCGAGTGTGCAACAGATGATTTGTATAGAAATTATTTTCATTTAAAAAAAAAAAAAAAAAAAAAAAAAACAATTGTTACTTTTTCAATCGCGTGTGCAAATACAACTTGTTCAGCTGGATCGCCGAAAGATTACTCTACTTACCTGTAAAAAAGTTCGCCGAGAAAAGAATCACATTACGTGGCCTTGCAATGTCACTGATTTGGAGATATCGAGACTATTAGTGTTCGTCGTCTGCGATTACCGATCTTCCCTGAAGAGGAAAAGAAAGAGATAAATCTTGACTAAGCTTTGCCGGTTTATATATATCGTCGATGTATGAATCGGCGACACGCATCCGCAGATATTTACCTTGTACGTTCACGCCTTGAGCATAGCGGTCGGCGCGTATCGGAAAAGCGGATAGAGAATATTAATTATGCATTCTAAGACACGCCGCTCCGAGATTGTGACAAAGTTGATGTAATGCACCGATCTCATTGGGAGAGGCCGGGCTACGCACTTGGGATATCTCTCCTATATGGTTCATTTTTTTTTTTTTTTTTTTTTTTTTTTTTGTTCTCTTTTCTACTTCCACGAACGGGCGACGCGACGTTTCTAGGAGCGGCTTTCTGCGGCTTTGGGAGAGACGGGAGATTACGATTAGTATACATCGGGAAAGGCGCGTTTACCGATTCTCCTGTTTTGTTAATCTACGCGTTATTCATACTCGAAAAATTGCGCAAAGCTCTCGCATCTGATTTTGACAAGCTGCGAACGAGCAGTTCCAACATCATCGTGCAACGAGTGTCGTCTCATACGAGATCCTGAGCCAAGATTAAAAATTGTAATTGGAGACCCGTGGCAATAATACACGGCTCGCCGGAAAGATTCGGGAGTAAATCTCCTCTCGAATGTCTCGCGGCAAGTTTCCGAAGAGAGAGAGAGAATGAGTGCGATACGATATTAAACGTATATTGGAACGTGGATATCCTGTAAGATTATCAGCGAAGGATTCATATCTAAAGAAGAAAAAGGACGGGGTAGAGCCCGCGCCCCCTCATAATATATACACACACACACACACATACATATAGATAGGAGGAATGTATGGACGTGGGACTGAACTATCCAAGTCTCTGCAACACGATGGTATGGCGTGTATATCTGTCTCTCTCTCTCTCTCTCTCTTTCTCGCTCGCTGCTAGCGCGCATGCAGAGGCCGTATATGGTAGTGGGCGGTAGACACGGCAACAGTGAGATGCGCGGGGGCGGAGAGGAAATGCGCATGCGTTCGCGGATCCCATCCTCGGCTCGACTCGGCAAACTTCGTCCCGGCTCGGGCGCGCGCGCGCGCGTACGCGCACGACGGGCGGTGCAAGGTGCAATCAGTAGATCCGAGAATTCCGTAGCGCGCGTACTTACTTTTGAATTCCCCCCCTCCCCCCTTGCGTGATCAGCGCATTCCGATTTTAACCTCACCTCAAACGGAGCGCGAGAGAAAGAGAGAGAGAGAGAGAGAGAGTGATGCGATTCATCTATATGCACGATTAACTCTCTCTCTCTTTCACTTTGCTGTTTCATCCTATTTTGACTCCGTTTTCTCCTTCTCTCTCTCTCTCTCTCCCTCTCCCATCATCATTGTCGATCGTTCTATTTATCTTCGACGCTCCGGTCTCGTCCCTTCTTTTCCCTTCCTACGCTCCTTCTCGCCTCCCTCTCTCCTATCCTCCATCCCTCCCCCTCTATCCTTCCATCGCTTCGCGTCGCTTTTCGCGATCTACTGCGCGCGCGTTTACCAGTGGGGATCGTTTCCTAAAAACGTCATAGTCAACTGTGTGCACGAGAGGCGCGCGCGCGTTCTAACCCGAATCGAAGAAAGACGAGATAATCGGAGTCGATGAACAGTCGGATCAATCGGTTAAAAGATCGAGAAGAATAAAAAGGAGGGAGGGACCTTGGCGGTGAAGCGTCTCATTAGGATCGTCGCCGAGAAAAACCGAGGAAAAGGAGTCGACGTTCGACGCGGGCAACAAGACCAGAAACCAGAGGCTTGGGGGTCTCGCACGTCGCCGGAGAACGAAAGAGAGGAAAAAAAAAAAAAACAAAAAACCAAAAAGAGAAAAACGAAACTTCGCGGCGGACCGGGACGACTTTACGACTCTCTCGGCGGAGTGTTGTCGCTCGCCCTCGCGCCTTCCCTCTCTCCGTTTTTCTCCTCTCCTCTTCTCTCCTTTCCCTCCCCCCCCCCACCCTCGTACCCGCGTTCGTACCAATCCTCGCACGCTCTCTCGATTCCTCTACGCGCTAGAGTCTTTCCTCCTCTCCTTTCTCTCTCTCCCTCTCCCCCCCCCCCCCTCTCTCTCTCTCTCTCCCACTCGCCGTGTCACCGTCCCCTTCGCCGCGTTCCCGGCTCTTTTCTTTTAACTCTCCTTCAGTACGTCTCCGCCCGTCCGCGCCTGTGTTCTACCGAAGAGAGAACGATTCCGTTCGTACGACACCGCGTCGCACGCACTGTCGTGTGGCCCGTTCGCGCTCTCTCTCTCTCTCTCCCTTTTCTCTCTTTCTCTCTCTCTTTCTCTCCGTTGGGTATTAAGCGTGCCCGCGCGCGCTCAACACGCGCCAACATTCGCCATTGAAGCAACCGAGTACAATTTGCGATGTGTGATAATACTAACACGACGACGCAGAGTATAGCGGACTACCTGTCACAGTTGTTGAAGGACCGGAAGCAGCTAGCTGCCTTCCCAAATGTCTTCATACACGTGGAGCGTCTGCTGGACGAGGGTGAGTTTGACAGCTTCTTCTTCTTTTTTGCTTTTTATTTAAAATTTTTATTTTCCTCGTGTCAACCTCTTCGGTCCTCTCCTGTAACCAGTGCCATTTTATACGCGCGACGAGATTTTATACGCTGCTCTCCAGGTCGAGAGAGCAGCGCGAGACTTCTCCTAAGTGTATCTGGAAATAAGTATAAAGCCGCGAAGAGAGTATGTGTGTGTGGTTGTATGCGATCGTCGATCGATGTGTATCATAAAATACGACGAAACTTCGACGAAGCGCCATTTTGCGCACGTGAATGCGCGCGAGAGAATGAATTTTTTTTTTTTTTTTTTCCTTCTTTTATCGCCATGTGACGTAACGCCGAGTATCGCGTGCTTCTCTCGTCGATCTGTCGCGGGGAGACTTGTTATTTCCTTCGCGCGGACGTTTGTCCATCTGGATTGACGATTCAAATTAATTGTTATGCCAGTGTCAATTTTCACATCCGATTCGTCATCGTCTCGAAATATTCGTCGATAGAGTCGATCGGTTCCTAAACGCTATCAGCGAATTCCTGCGCCGCTGCGCTATGAATAAGGCGTATATAGGGTGTCGTGAAAAGTTTGAGTCTAATTTTTAAGCACGAGCAGGCTTGTGATTTACCGCGATTATATTTCAGATTTTGAGAACGCGTATATAAATATTACATATATATTTATATCTTTCTTCCTCGTGATGTTTTCTCAATTGTCATCCGTGCTGTACCTCTCGTGGATGATTACACATTTTTTATGACGTGTTCTTTTAAAGATACGAGTATACACCGCCCCCTAATAGACTTTATTTCATTTCACGATACGCACGATTGGAGAATTTGACTTAAATTTAACATATATCGCATGTCCCAAACGGCCCACACAAATTTTTGTGTTAATTTAATATAATATGGATATGTTAAATTTTGACACTAATATTATGTTAATATTTTAACACAATATATGAATGCAAACTTCATAGTAATTTGAATCAAATTAAATTTTTAATTAAATTTTGTATAAAATCGACATATTTTTAATGATAAAATTAATTTAGAGAAAAGAATTATTGTAAATTTTAATAAAAATCATGTCACTAATAATACATATCTATTGCGTAAAATTAAAAAAATATATGTGCATTGTGTTATTTTTACACTTTTCTTTTCACTTATTTTAATAATTTAACATTTGACTTCAATTAACACAACAGCTTATATATTAAATTAACACATGAATGTGTTAAATATTCAACACAAGAATTTTAACCGGCATATTTGTTTAACACGAAGACATACATTTTCCAACTATGTACGCGTATTACGAAAGTGACACGGGGCTTATTGCATCGCTTGAACGCGCGAAAAACGGCGAAGGAATCTCCCTCCCCCCTATCGTCTCTCTTCCCCGCGAGGATGTAGATGTAGAACACCCTGCACGAGTGTCGCGTTCGTTTTCGCAACCCTTCCACGTGTACGCGATCGACTTAATCCGTTCCTTTCGCTATCGCGACGCGTGTTGTCACGTGGCCGGCTCGTAGCGGCATGCTTGCTCGCGAGAAAGAAAAGAGGAAAGAAACGTAACGTGAAATAGGAACCGCGTACGGAGTAAGGCTCTCCCGCGTCGTCAGCAAGCCATGCGCGATTCAATCGGATTCGAGAATAATTCATTCTCCTCGCGCATCAAATATCGCATAAAAATATCACGTAAATATATACGCTTGTGTAAAAATTATGAATAAGCAAAAATAAATATTCCGCGAAATCGTCATCTTTGCTCCTTGTTTTTCTTTTCTCTCTCTCTCTCTCTCTCTCTCTTTTTTTTTTTTTTTAAACGAGCTGATGTCGTTTGAGATATTATTATATTTCTCATCGTGCAGTATGGAAATTGCGGTAGATGGATAGGTAGTTTTGCATTTGACATATATGACAGTTGCGTCTAATAGCAGTGCAAAACGCAATATACACAAGGAGAACTTCTCTAGACATTACATTCATACTTGCGATGTCACGCGTGTATGATAAATATCAAGAATTCTTTCTGTTGAAAATAATCGACGAGAATATATTACTTTGTTTTCTCTTCTTTTGCTTGTTTCATGAAAAAACAAATTTTTTGTAGACAAGATATTATACTTTATCTTGTAATCCTGGAAGGCAGATAATAGTATTATCCACGGTGCGGTTGACGATGTCAACTGTCCTCAAAAGGAATCCCTCAATTGAGTCACAAATGAATGGTAGACGGACGATTTTCGGGCTTTTGACGAGTAATGCTGGTCGGTCAATATCGATGATGCGGGACATCACAAATCGGAAGTAACTTTGGTTACAAAAGGTCCGACCGTGCGATTAGTACCATGAGAATTAACTTTCCCTCTTAGCTTTATTGCTGCCGGTCACGAGTTGGTTTCGTCATGGCAATGATTAAGACCTTAAAATGCTCTGGGTTTTGTATCTCGGCGTGTCAATAGGATACTATAAATTCTTACAGCCAATGTACAATAATTGTTCGATCCATCAACGACGCAATGCGTCCCGATCGGAAAAATCCAGTGAATGGTTTTTTTAAAGCAAAGATTTTTTTTTGCTTTAATTAATAAATCATATTAATCACTATAGTTTAAAAAAATGAAATCAATATAATAATAATAGTTTTTTTTTTTAATTTAAATTAGTATGTGAAATTTTTAAAATAAAAGCTTTGAAGATATAAATATTACTAAATTTTATATTAACAGAATTAACAATTTTTACCAATATAAATTTCGTTTGCACGTTTATCATTCAACTATCTTCTAACAAAAAACTAATTTATTTGCTATACGTCAATTCCTAAAATCTATTACATATTTAATAATTTTGAATAAAGCTTAAATTAAAAAACACTCAATTTACAAATATAAATAAAAAGATTTTCTATATATTTTAATATTCTTAACATTTTTAATAAAAAGGACCAATTCTTGCTGTTCTTTTCCGGAAAATATCAGTTTTTATCACTGGTATGTATTTATTGAAAAAATGTGGAATTTTACTAATCCTGATCCCGATCCCTATTTCCAAGAAGGATAACGCAAAGATAGAGCGACAGCTTATCGCCATGTGACAAGCCTTATACACGTATTACCTACCTTCCGGGTCTCTT